ACTATTGATCGCTTTGTATGGCAGACTTCTTGTTTTGAATTCCTAAATGATCACTACATATATATCAATTTACTTTACTAATCAACCGGAGTCTCATCATGGCTCAACCAGAGTCTCTTAATGGCTCAACCAGAGTCTCATCATGGCTCAACCAGAGTCTCATCATGGCTCAAACGGGTCCATAATGACCCAAGTAGAAAAAACTGGAGTCTGATCATGGCTCATTTTAATTTGGAAAAAACAGTCCACGAGAGTCCTTCATGACTCGTCATTTATTTAGTTACAACACCTTAAGTGTTGCAAGGGGGCCGGCAATGTTTAAGTACAAATCGGTTATTTGCGGTATTTTTCCTCTAAGTGTAAATCCTAATGATTTACTACTTTAGTTTACATCTTTGATGGAAAACTATTACTAATTCAACGAGTAAACCGCTAACTGTATTTAAACTTTGTTAGCCTCCATACTTAGAAATAAGTAGTTGTTTAACACTCGTCATATAGAAGCCTTAAAGAGCACTTCTTGTTGTGCATACATGCTTAAGGTAATATATAAATAAAGGAAGACAAATCTTCTCCTTTTATAAAACTAATAATTCTTTGTGTTTATTCTTTTGTGCATTTACACTGAACCATATCGGATTGACGCCGAAACAATGTTAAATAGCTTGAAAATATGAAATTTGGCATAAGTTAGTTTTATGTACCCAAAAATTATTCTGTATGGCAGACTTTGATCTTACCCCCACAAAAATTCGACTTCAGCAAATGACTAACTATCATAAAAAGCATAAAAATATTAGTATAGCAATGAAAATCGACTTAAGCAAGTTTAATAGTAACATAAATTTCCCTTCATAATTTTTAGAGGATCGAATCATATTTAACCCCACTCCATATAAGGTCCCATTCAGAAAATGACTTTAACACTCATAACTAGGTTGAAAATACTAACTACTGGTATAAAATTCAACCAAAATAAGTTTTATAGAATCATAAATGTCTCTATCAACTTTCATAAGAATCGGTCCATATTATATCCAAGCGTCTATAAAGGCACGCTGAAAATGACTTAAACGCTAATAACTTGATTAAAACTCATGTCATAAAATTCTTCATAATCACATTTCATAGGATCTCAACGCTTAAACGTTTTTTTTATTTTTTTTTTTTTTGTGGTTCGCTCAAATAAGAAAATAAATTTATTCTCAATTAAAAAATGTTAGTATCATGATACATACGCCAAAAAGGATTTGTTTTAAAACGTCATTCTTAGAGTTCGGTCTGTGGCCCAAACCATTAAGATTGTATTCCGAAGTCTAATGCACACTAATGTGCATATTACTACGGATACACGATAATAAAATTTTAGCACAAATCTAATAACTGAGTAAGTTTTGGAAAAACATGCTTTAAAGGAGCGTATATAAGTTTCATTATAGCCGAATACAACACTTTTACTTATTTTTATATATTTTAAACATTTTTAATTAATTTTTTTAATGTTTTCGGAGGAGCTTTTTTAGCATGTAGTGACACCAATTTCTAAAAAAGGTCTTGGATTTATTTACAAACTCATTTTGCACTGAAATTTAGTTTTGGTCATCATTATCTGAAGATATACTGTATAAGCAAAGAAAAATGAATTTTAGTGCAAAAATTGTGGTTTTGCAGCTAAAAGAAGTAAATCCAATTTGGATTTATTAAATCCAAAAAAATAGCTGGATTTAGCTAATTTCTATATAGCAGTGCTTTGTATTCATTGAACAAAACCAAAATAATTTTAAAAGAAATACATTTGTTTTATTTTGCTATTTACTGTAACTAAAATATTGCACACATGATATTTCAGTGCAAATAAAAATTTTTGCAAAAAATTGTTAAATTTTTTTTGGAAAATTTTGAAATAACTCCGTCTCCTGGCCGCTGCTGACATTATGATTTGAAATTTGTTTAGCTTCGAATAAAATCTTTTGCCTAATCCACCTGGCGAACAGTGCAAGAACTAAAATTTGGTTTTAATAAATCCAATGGTTTAAAAATGGAACTGAATATTAAATACAAAAATCTAATCAAATTGATGTTATTTTTAATATTTATTGTATGAATTGTACGTTTTCTTTAAATCTTAAGAGAATACCAAATTATAGTGTAATATTACAATTCCTATAGTAGAGTTGAATGAGTGAATTGGGTGTAATTTTTTCACGCCTTCACTTATGGCAAATTTATTAGAATTTAGGCATGTATTTAAAACGATTAAATAGAATACGTACTAAAGAAATCATAAAAATATCCCATCTTCTTGAACTTCAAAATTGTATGCTGGATAGTTCTGTGTTTTAGAATTTTTGACATTTTGCCTAGCTCACACATAAGACCGCTTTAAAAAAATTGTGATGAAATTTGCGATATGTATGCTTTTAAGATATAATGAACATACATAAATTATTTTAGGAAATTAATGGCTCTAGAAAAATCTGAAGTTTTCAATCCTTAATTTGTCTGAGGGTCGATCATAATAGGACCAAGTCCAAATTTGGTTGGAAAAGACCAAAACAGCAAGGCTGGTCGGTATCCGTAAGATCCGGTAAAAAAAGTCCATGAAACTACTTCACAAAAGTATGCGAATTTTTCCTGTATTTCATATTTGATCATATTATACAATGATCATATTACAATAACACTGTTTTTGGTTTTAATTTGATCATAGTAAATAATATTTAAACACATATCAACATTTTTGATGTGATCATAATGATATCGTGCCATGCAGCATGGATGCCATTGGTATATAAAAATAATGATTTTACTATTTTGAATGGTGCTCTTCGAGGCATGTTTTGGAGTTGTACACTTCCACAACACATTGATAACTTAAAATGTATAAAAGCTGATATCTAAAAGAATATATACCAGAAAACTTTCCCCGAAAATAGTTAATCCTAGTATTATAAAAATGGAACGTTTAAATACAGATTCTTGTAACAAAAAATATTATTTTTAGATACCCCAATATCAAATTTTTGTTTTATCTCTGGAAAAAAGGAGAAAAATTTACAATTATAGCCAAAAATCGCCATTTTAATGATATTACATGAAAATAGGGTACAAATTCCCCAAAATTGTGGACCAAATGGGCCAAAAATATATCCTTTCCGTGGATAGTAACCCCTTAAAACAATATTACGCATAAAAACCATTCGATTCTAAAATTTGTGTTGCGTATAATATGATCAAATATGAAATACAGGAAAAATTCGTATATTTTGTGAGGCAATTTCATGGACTTTTTTTAAAAAAACACAATTAATTTAAGTCAATGCAAATTTTTCAAGTTTTAAAAAGCGTGATATCAAACATAAGGACTATCTAGACAATATAACAAATTAATTTATTTATTTTGCACACAAAATATATTATTAAATTTGATTTCTTTTTATAGTTTACCCAAATTCGAATAATTATGAGATGTATGTATAAATTGTCAAAATCCCAGCAAAAAAAAGTGTGGAAAAAGATGTAGAATTTTCATCCCAACCCAGCAAAAAAAAGTGTGGAAAAAGATGTAGAATTTTCATCCCAACCCAGCAAAAAAAGTGTGGAAAAAGATGTAGAATTTTCATCACAACTAGTAACCCGAAGTGCTTCAAATTCAGGTGAAAAACCTATGAATTTTACATTAGCGTGTCATTGGAGGGATGTTGTTCATTTTTGACAACTTTGAACTACATCTAATCTTATCTTTAGAAGCTGTAAAAATCCGATATTTGTATTTCAAAAATAAACCACATTCTTTCAATGAAACGCTTATGTAAATTTCATTGGTTTTTCATCAAAATTTGAAGTACTTCGAATATGTTGTTTGTAGTGACTTTTCTACATCTCTTTTCTCATTTTTAACTGTGTTTTAATTTGTAAGTATATGTTTGGTTTATAAAAGCGAAAAGTATGCAATCGCATTTTTGGATGTGATTAAGATGTCGTTTGTAAAGTATGACATCAATTATTTTTTGCTGGGAACTAGTAACCCGAAGTGCTTCAAATTCAGGTGAAAAACCTATGAATTTTACATTAGCGTGTCATTGGAGGGATGTTGTTCATTTTTGACAACTTTGAACTACATCTAATCTTATCTTTAGAAGCTGTAAAAATACGATATTTGTATTTCAAAAATAAACCACATTATTTCAATGAAACGCTTATGTAAATTTCATTGGTTTTTCATCAAAATTTGAAGTACTTCGAATATGTTGTTTGTAGTGACTTTTCTACATCTCTTTTCTCATTTTTAACTGTGTTTTAATTTGTAAGTATATCCCAGCAAAAAAAGTGTGGAAAAAGATGTAGAATTTTCATCACAACTAGTAACCCGAAGTGCTTCAAATTCAGGTGAAAAACCTATGAATTTTACATTAGCGTGTCATTGGAGGGATGTTGTTCATTTTTGACAACTTTGAACTACATCTAATCTTATCTTTAGAAGCTGTAAAAATCCGATATTTGTATGTCAAAAATAAACCACATTCTTTCAATGAAAGGCTTATGTAAATTTCATTGGTTTTTCATCAAAATTTGAAGTACTTCGAATATGTTGTTTGTAGTGACTTTTCTACATCTCTTTTCTCATTTTTAACTGTGTTTTAATTTCTAAGTATATGTTTGGTTTATAAAAGCGAAAAGTATGCAATCGCATTTCTAAATGTGATTAAGATGTCGTTTGTAAAGTATGACATCAATTATTTTTTGCTGGGATGTTTGGTTTATAAAAGCGAAAAGTATGCAATCGCATTTTTGGATGTGATTAAGATGTCGTTAGTAAAGTATGACATCAATTATTTTTTGCTGGGATGTTATTGTGATACAACAATAAATTTTGTAAGCTTTGGAAATCCGTCCACTCGAATGTAGGTTAAAAATGTCAACACCAGAAATACTATGGTACGTACTATTAATTTTTGGAATTGTTATATATACTATAGCATTTCTAAAAAAAAACATACCAGTTGAAGCTGTCATTTGAATAAGGAGAGCCATTTGCTGTCGTTCTGACATTGGTGTATTTGTGTTCGGCCTTGCTGGTGCAATTCCAGTGTTACATCCAATACCCCGTGGTCTTGGGGGAGGCATACTATTATTCTCAATATTTTACGTAATTTTAACACTTAAAGCTTATATATTTTAAACAAGTGATAATATACATAAATAAATTCCCTGTAATACAAGAAAATTAAAATGTATTTTGACTGCAGAGCCCTACGCCAACAAACGCTAACTGTGACGGCGGCTGACTCTAAAAATGTCGTCGACGGCTTTAAAGTTTAATTACAATTGAAACCGCTGTCGACAATCCACACAAAACGAGCGAGCAACGAATTAAGATTAGGCGACTCTCGACTAGGGATACTAAAAACGGGACTGGGGATCCCAGGATTTTTCGGGATTTTACGGGATTACATAAATGTTGTTATTTTATACATGAAAATCTTAAATCTTCATGTTTGTGAAGAAAATTGTTTAATCTTGTGGAAGTTAATCGACAGAAGATAAATTTAAATTAAATAAAAACTTGTAGAATATCATTATTTCAGAAATTTGGTAACTACATATATGCTTCCTAAATAAAAACAAATAGAAAAGTATAGCCGGACATGGCCGACTATATGATACCCTACACCATGGGTATATTTTAAAAATTATTTATTTTTCATAAAAAAATTGTTGAATTTTACTTTAATTCCGATGTATTTAAGCAATTTATTGATGAAAAACTAAATTTCTAGAAGATACTTTATATGGGATCTAGGGTCAAATATAGGCCGATCCTCAAAAAATTGGGAAGAGGGATGTAATTTTATATAAAGGTTAGCTGAATCTCATCGCGATACTAATGGTTATAAGTAAATTTTTGGACGTTTAAGATATTTTTTAAAGGAGGGTTCGTATGGGGGCTAGGGTCAAACGACGGCCGACTCAGAAAGTGATACTGAGTAGATTGGTATACTTTAAGGTGGGTGTAGGACAAATATTTTTATGCGTTACAAACATCAGCACAAATGTATAATACCCTCCCCACTGTATTGGTGTAGGGTATAATAAATATAACGTTCAATCCTTCGAATACCAATTTAGATCATAAATGAACCTTTTCTTTGGAAAATGTTATCTACATTCAGAACAATTTAATTTAATTTTACCGTTATCACTCAGATTTGTAGAAAGCTTGAAATGCAAAACCTTCTAGATATAATTTAAAAAATAAATTTTATATTTGACTGTGCCGAAATAAAATAAATATTCCGGTATGTGATAGAATTCAAACAATTCGATCGAGGAATGGTTTATTATTTTCTTGCAAAATACTACGAAGACAACAAAATACTTTCCATTTAGGAGAATCAATTTAAAAAAATTATATTTTTGAACTTACAAACGGAATGACAAACTTATATATACCCTTCTCACGAAGGTGAAGGTATAAAAATATGATAATTTGTATGAAAAGCCGCAGAAATTTTTGTATTATTTTTGTAGATTCAAATCTATTTTAAAAATGAATTTCATCAAATGGCTGATTGTAATGTATTGATGTTAATATTGGCATCAAATTGAATTTTAGAGGAGGTACTTTAAGGATTTCTTGTGTTAATTTTGAAAAAATAAATTTGTATGTACTATATATGGTATCATACGACTTTAAACAAGTAAGAGTGCTATATTCGGCTGTGCCGGATCTTATATACCCTTCACCATAGTGTAAAAAATATCAATTTTATAAAATTTAAAATTATTTTATTTTCGAGAGATATTTGTCCTAGGAACCGATTTATGGGGTTGTCACTTTCGAGAAATTAGCCAATTATATGGTATTCACTACTTAAGTGTTATTTTTCAATATTGAAAAAAAATTTTTTTTGGCACCACAATATCTGACCGATTTTTTAATCAACAAACTATATACTTGTTAATATTAAAAAATAACACTTTAATAGTGAATACCATATAATTGGCTAATTTTTAGAAAGTGACAACCCCATAAATCGGTTCCTAGGACAATTATATCTCGAAATTTTTATATCTTTTTTTGGCACCACAATATCTGACCGATTTTGTAATCAACAAACTATATACTTGTTAATATTGAAAAATAACACTTTAATAGTGAATACCATATAATTGGCTAATTTCTCAAAAGCGACAACCCCATAAATCGGTTCCTAGGACAATTATCTTTAGAAAATATTATAACTTTTTTTGGCACAACAATATCTGACCGATTTCGTTAATAGCAAAATATAGAAAGAAAATGTATCTAAAATTTGTCACTTTATATATATAAGTATAAGTAAGTTTTTTAAATTTCCTATAACAGAATATTTTAAAGTTTCTATAAGAGAAGTTTTTAAATTTTCTATAAAAAAAAGTTTTTAAATTTTTTATAGGACCATTTTTTAAATTTTCTATAAGAGAATTTTTAAAATTTTCTATAAGTGCATCGATTTTCTTTAAGAGGATGTTTTAAATTTTCTATAAGATAATTTTTTAAATTTTCTATATTTTTTTTTTAAATTTTCTATAAGAGAGTTTTTTAAATTTTCTATTAGAGAATTTTTCGAATTTCCTATAAGAGAATATTTTAAATTTTCTATAAGAAATTTTTAAAATTTTCTATAAGAGAAGTTTCAAAATTTTCTATAAGAGAATTTTTTAATTTTCTGTAAGAGAATTTTTAAAATATTCTATAAGAGAATTTTCTATAAGAGAGTTTTTTAATTTTTCTATAAGAGAATTTTTTGAATTTCCTATAAGAGAATTTTTTAAATTTTCTATAAGAGAAGTTTTTAAATTACCTATAAGAGAATTTTTCGAATATTCTAAAATAGATTTTTTTTAATTTTCTGTAAGAGAAGTTTTTAAAATTTTCTATAAGAAAATTTTTTAAAATATTCTATAAGAGAATTTTTTAAATTTTCTATAAGAGAGTTTTTTAAATTTTCGATAAGAAAATTGTAGGAGAATATTTAAAATTTTCTATAAGAGAATTTTTCGAATATTCTATAATAGAATTTTTTATATTTTCTGTAAGAGCATTCTTTAAAATTTGTGTAAGAGAATTTTTTAAATTTTCTATTTCTGGTATAATTCTCTATCGAAAATCGTTTACATTTATTAATATTAAAATTTAAATTTATGGGTACACCATACCCTGTACCTGTACTGCACTTTTATTAAAAAAGTACTAAATAAATAAAATCAAAGGTATGTACATTTTTATACAACTCTGGGAAAAAGTATGTTTTGTTCACATCGATAACGATTTAATTATATTATTATATATTATACAATTTATTACACTTTTAAACTACTTTTAAACCACTTTTAATTCACTTTTTCAACTTTTTACAAATTTTAACAAATAGCAAAACACAATTTAAAAATGGCGACGTAAACAATGTTAACAATTTTTAAAACAAACTTAGACAACTTCCCTACAAGAACAGTGACAGTCATTTGATAGGTCATTTGACTGGCACTACTGATGTATTATTTCTATCACAGCGTAAAGCAAAGTTTCTATCAGTTTCTTAAGGCAAATGGACAAAAGTGATGGAAACATTTGTGTACATGTGATTTTTCTTCTCCCTTGCACTTATGAATTCTATCGACTTTAAAACATATATTTGAGCTCCTCACTCTTTTGTTGTTTACTTACCAAGGATGACATAAATATTAGTCAGGATTGACTGATCATGCTTGATGGATATATCTATCACAGTTAACAAATTAAAAATGATGTATTTATCGGTCATTGTTGACTAATCATATGTGATGAATATATCCGTCAAATGTGACGGCTATACCAATTTATAATAAAACACAATTTATTAATATTTTAAGATATATATTTGTTAATTTTATTAATATAATAAGCATGTACATAAATTAACAATCATTTCACCATTTTACATACCTCGCAGGATCTTAAATCCGCTGATGCTCCTTTTAATTTGTGGAAATAAGTTGTCTGTAAGAAATACATATGAATATCGAAATATAAAAATTAAAAGTAAGTAATCATGTTACCATAGATTGATTAAACTCCGAAGTGTTTATCTTCAGCTCCACTTCCTGCACTATTTTTAAATTCTATTTATAATAATTCTCTTTATTTTCAATAATTTATACACTTTGTAAATTTTAAAATTTTTCGCTTCTTGATCTTTGGCTTTTACAGAAATAATTAATTTATAACGTCGAAAAATATAACTCTAAAACACAGTAACAGTCAAATGTAGTTGTTTCACTCTTTCATATGCAAATGAAACCCTTTACCACACATTGGGTACATCAACAGTCATTTTACCGGTCATTTGACTGTCATTATTGATGGAATTATCCATTAACTATTTTTTTTAGCAATTTTATAAAAAAAATATTGCAAGAGTGTTAGTGAAATCATTTTGTATGTGTTAGTTTCGGTCATACATTTCTTGTAGGGTTGCTTCATTTATCTAGTTTAAAAAAATAGTCAGCTGTTCAAGTGATGCTACTTTATTAATTTACTTTGATCTATCTCAACCACAATATCGCCAACAGCGTTGCCACTGAACATATTTTAAACCTAACAAATTCTTGTCAAAAAACTACCAAAATAGTTTAAAACCTACCAAATTTTGAAAATCATATGAAATTATTTTTTGAGAAAAGTGTGACTTATTTATTAATTTGTTTCGTCGCCTAAAATGCAAAAGGGTTTTAAACTATGTATATACAATATTGTATGTACAATATTGGCAGAAAATTTTTCAGAAAATGTCTATCTTTCGTGTCAGCTTACAATTTTTGTGATATTTTCTGTGATATTTTCTGAATATTTTGCAGCCATCTTTGAAAGATCTAAAAACATGTATCACAGCTTTTATGATACATTTTTTTCTTTGGATTCTTTTTTAATTTGTGTATGGAAACGTCCTTGAAGATATGAATTTTGTAAAAACAAACGACTTAGCAACCTAATTACAAGGATTAAAATGCTTCGATTAAATTTGCTATATAATTGTACCCAGACCCAATACAAATCGGAAAACTTCTGGAATATCATTTTAATGTTCAAAAATATGTTGGTTACCAACAAAATCATAATATCGGTTCTCTAACTGCCACATAAAATTGCCCAAAATAATATTAATATAGACCTGTTTTTGACAATAGAGTTCTAAAAAATTTCGACAATATACATTTTGATGCAGTGGACCATTTTCAATCAAAAAGTATTTTGGTTATTGTGCCTCTTTGC